AAGTCTATTTCGTTCTGATTTTTGCCATTAGGGCTTCTCCATGTCCACTAACGGTTCCTTCGTTTTCAATAGAAGGTATTCAATATCCGTAACTAATGAGTTTTGCGAATTTTACTAGTAGCTACCTTCTGGTATGTTTGTTTTTTCAGAGCAGTACTCGATGAATGGGAACCTATAAATACATAGTGTACTGAAACAAGAGAATCAATCTGTCTATAACATTGTCTCTAAAATTGTCAGTGCTATAATTAACAAATAACTGCAGGTGATAATAAGGTCTGTCATCAGGTGCCGACTGGAAAAAGCGGCAGAAGTAACATCATCGTTCAATATAAGTCTCCTGCAAACCGAAAGAGCGTTCTAAGGAAAGCAAAACGAGCTCTAATTACGAACAAAAGTGTTGGTTCAACCATTGAAAATAACTTCTATGTAAATGAGCATCTTTGCCTAGCCGTGACGAAACTTCTAACTCTAGCTGTGAAGAAGAAGTATGAATAAAAGAGAAAAGACGTGTGGTTATTTAACGAAAAGTCTACACGAAGCAATCTGATGATAAACCACCGCGCAAGTTCCGAATGAGCATGATAATGATAACGTTTTCTCCGGATTGTAATATCAGACGCAGGTGACAGGCAAGACTGAGCACTCAACCTAATCATCGAAAATTGGATAACGACTGCGCATACGTAACCTTAGCGTCACCATTTGCTATTAAATTTGTTACCCGCCTTGCCAATGAGTTTTGCATAATTACACTCGCTGTGCAGTGATTAAAGAGGAAGTAGAGCAACTCTACTTCAAAGTGGGTGTTCTTGCGCTTTCTGAAACCTGGTATACGAATAGCAGCAGCAAGTTAAAACTGCCTGGATATGACAGTTTCGTTTGCAATCGATTAGATAACCGTGGAGGGGCTGTAGCGCTTTATGTGACCGCAGAGAAAAAATGCCCTTTTGTTCATGAATACTGTGTGTCTACAGAAGATTATGAAATACTCACCGTCTGGAATAGAAATGACATATTCGCTATTGTTCACCGAGTGGAAATATTAGACTTTTTCTACAATTTTATCTAAGTTTTGTAGATTTTATTTGCAAAAATAACTTTCACATTACGTGTGGTGGCGGCTTCAACTTTAGTATGCTTGGTGACAGCACCGCTTCTAGAGGTTTTTTTCTGCCTTGGAGTGGTTAAACAATGTAACCATTACTCCAACTCGCGTTACGTACCACACATTGTCATGCCTTGACCTTTTAATAATAAATGCAGAGCTAAAGACATACACTACCGGCACTGGTGTTTCGGACGTTAGTGCTAATCTCTCTGTTATTGTGCTGTATGAAAACCAAAGAGGACTTTAAAATTGTGAAGTAAAAACATTCCATTTTCGGCGAATAACAGAAAGTAGACTGCCTTGCCATTACAACTGAAATAATGGCCCAAGACTGGTCTACTGTCTTGGTATTAACGTGCGCCAATGAGGCGTACAATGAGTTTGTCGTAAAAAGTTTAAAATTATACATAATCTATTTGCCGATAAAACAAGTAAAACCCCCGAAAACACCGAGAAAAGCTTGGGTAACGAAAGAACACTTAACTATTATCGCAAGAAATTAAATAATGAAATCTTTTTGAAACAAATAAATATAGACCTACGGTGGGCCAGACGAACTTACTACGAGCAACTTTTTCCTTCTACCTTACGGTAATGCCCTGATAAGACATGAAAAATAATAAACGGTGTTCTTGGTCATCGGACCAAACAAAGCTTTACAAACAGTATACTTGATGACGGTACTAAACTAAAAGGCGAGGTTTTTGATAATGATTTTAACCAACATTTCATTAACTCTACCATTACTTATGTGTACTCCACCTGCGCTGCAACGCGGAAAAAGCAAACTTCAGTCCTATTGCGGGTACCATTTATTTACCACCTATCGACGAGTACGACGTTCGTGCTACATTTCAATTTTGAAAAAATACTAAAGTGTTAGACATCGACTAGCTACAGCTTGGTCCCTTTATGCGTTGCATAGCTTGTATTTCCCCTGCGCTTGCTCACATATTTACCATTTCAATCAGGTGTATTTGCATAAGAGATGAAATATGCTAGAGTTTCGGCAATATGGAAATCAAGTAGCCTTAATGATCCCAACTAAATACCGACCAATATCGATGTTACCTGTGTTGTCTAAGGAGCTAGAAAAATTATTCACTCTCGTATGGTCAACTTTTTGGATAAACATTATGTCATAACTTACGCGCAACGCGGATATAGGAAACGCAGGTCAACAAAATCAGCCCTTCCGTCAATCAATGAAACGATAATAGGGAACACAGAAAGGAAAGCATTAACTCTGGCGTTATTCATGGATTTTATCAAGGCATTCTACAGCCTAAGTCATAACGTTTTATTACACAAACTAGAATGCCATCGAGTGTGTGGTAGCTGCTTATGGCCTAAATGGCAGATGCCACTGTGTCTACGTCAACAGTCACATGTTGTCTTTTCTTATAAACAAGTTTGGCGTTCCTTAGGGTTGAGATTTAAAGATGGCTTTATTTATAATCAACATTATTAACATTGTAAATATTGATACCACTGAGGTAGAATTTATTATATACGTTAATGACAGTATTGGCATAATATCTGGGAACGACTTGCGTATCTTGACAACTGAATATAATTAATTGCTAAAAAATTCACCTATCTGGTCGCGGCTAAATACACCCAGGATCAACGCGAAGAAAACTAAGGTAAATATTTTGCGCTCCCAAAATAAATTGTTTCCATTGGGTTGTACAATTGGTTTTGAAGGCCAAAAATCGAAATTTTTGACAGCCACAAAATGCTTGGGGTTCACTTTTCTTCCCAGCTCACTTGGGACAGGCATGTGAATTACCTATGTGAAAATCTCTCCTCGGCGAAAGGTATCTCATCACGATGCCGTAGTTTCCTCCCTACAAAAGCCAAATTATACGTCTACAATGCTTTATTTCATACCCAATTAGATTATTGCGCTTCAGTATGGAGCACAAATACTATGACAAACATACGTAGAGTTCTGATGCTACCGAAGAAGAGTACTCGCAATATTGGCATCAAAGACTAATATTCTTGCACTAGAGAAGCGTTTACTAAATACAATGTTATTATCATCGACAGCTTTTAAACCTTCCGTTTATTACACACTCCGCGATATTTTTCTGAACCTCTCAAGAATTACATAAAACAGTTGGCCTCTTTAGAATGTCGTACAATTATTGTTAACACCAGGAACCCTGAAACATGGTCAGTTCCATATTTCAGGACACATTAAAAACACCAATCGTTGGTATATACTCAGCCATTTAGTTTAAATAAATACGAAAATATTCACATGCTTACTAAAGAAGACGCGTTTTTAGTTCGTTCACATATAACATCACATACTGTGATATTCGGTGCAATTGAATTGTGTGTCAATTATGTTATTCTTAACGTAGTTATTATGATTAAATGAATTTCTTGTGACGTTATGCGTTATATGTCTGGTGTTTAGTTGGTGCTCTAAGCTAGTATTGCTACAGTAATACGGTGTTTTTATTGTTTATTATTATCATTTCTGTTTATTGCTTATGCCATGCGGTATTTTATTGTATGTAAAATTTTTGCACCTTTTTATGCAGGTGTAATGATTTATTTTCCTTTTTTTTCTCGAGCAGTTGTCGTGCTGGAAAGATATTTAGCCCGATGTATATATACTTATGATATCTTATATAGAATGCTTCACTTGCTGGTTTGCTCGGCACTGCACGGAACTAGTTTGTCGTTACTACTCTGTATAGTTTGTGTAGTCTGGTCGTTGGGTCTCGTCAAACTACTTATGTAGCTTTAATGCAATAGAATAAACTGGAAAAATAAAATCTGAATTGTATTGCCGCTGTTCATGACAAGTTTTTTCTTTTTGCTGCAACCTGCCTTTTTGACAGTTGGCGACATTCCACCGTGTGTTGAATCTTAACGACTATCTTGAACGATGCCTGCTTTTCGGTATTTTCATGAAACATAAGCATGCCATAAGTACTCTCTTCATACAACTTCCTCATATCAGCATTGTGGTTCTGAGTTTTGTTCACGACTTTTTGTCAATCTCTCCTTCGAATGTAGTTTTAAATTCGGCTAATTGACTATCCGCCTTGGCGTAGTTGACAGTCGCAGCATTTTTATACGTAGTGAAAGACCCTTGATTTAAAACAAAAACACCATGTATAACATTTTTCTTGCAGTAATCACTTTTTGCCACTTCCCGAGCTGCCAGAGAGACAGCAATGTTTGTAAGTTGTCCAATATTTAAAATTCCATTATTATGAAGCAAGTTTAGGGGTCCGTACAGATCTTGAAGTGGTCGAAGTTTCCAGAGACCTCTACCATGGCGTGCCTCATACACATGTTGTTGTTGTGGCCCGTAAAACCATAGATATTATTATTAAGAAATAACTGACCTATGCCCAAGTTGCAGAGAGCTATAAAACAGTAACATTGAATGCTCGTGATACATACAACATGGAAGCATAATGCAGAGTAAGAACGCTACCGAAAACAAAAAAAACGAATGTTTGATTCGTCACCGTGATCTTTATATTTCCCTCAGAATCTTATGCCACGAAGTAGGTGGTTGCTATCTTCTTTAAGAATTCTCGCCACGTAGAAGGGGATGAGTTCTAGTATTGGTATGACGTTTGTTATAGTGCGAGCTCAGAACGCCGGCACAGGGACAAGACAAAAACGAGCGCAATAATGGTCGCCATGTCATGTGAAATAGCCCGAACCACCACGTTTTTAGGATTGGCGTGTGGTTGCTGGGGCTGCGATGGGCTGTCAATACGTGCTTAAGCCAATCACCTAAAAGATGAATAAACAATATAGCCTAAAGCGTTGTTATACAGTGTTGTACGATACTTCATTTTGAACCCCGCCGCCACATCTGGTTAAAGACATTTGCAGGTGTGTCAGGTCAGGTTCTTTTTTCGTTTTATTTCGTAAATATTATTACAGGACCGCCAGAAGAAGTGGCTCATATTTTTCGTGCATTGCTATATTCTGCTGGATCCACGGTACGTAGACGTCAAGACGTGTAAAAACTTTTGTTGCCGATCTTGAGGCGCAATCTGCAGAATAGGACAGGATGCCGACTTGTAGAGTTCTGCCATTTGTACCTCGAGTGAACACCGGTCCGGCGGAGTCATCCTGTAAGTTGCAACAACGTACACGTTTGTTACTTAGTTTGTGGTAGGCTAGTTTCCCTGCAAGAGGAGAACGGTTGCTTGGTGAATGATTTTAAGAGTACTGCAGCCATAGTGCTGCAATGGACGAAAAACTTTTGTATTGGACGGAATAAAAAGGTAATGCTCATCAACATCACCAGGGTTTCATGATTGTCTTCCAGATCTGCCGCGAGCGCATTAACCAATAGGCGTGGGCAAGCTTCCCTGTCAGGGGGAAGGGAGGTTCATCGCAGGAACCCCGCCCTCCACGAAGTCTTTAATTTGTGACAGATTTGGCACCTAACGGGTGACCATAGGGGAACGGTGGTCCCCCCCCCCCCCTAGATTACACGACGTACTATGCATTAACTTATTGCATATGTAGTATTTTTACCTCATACAGGAAAACCTTGTTATTTAGAGTATCGAAGGAGACCATAAGTTTGTTTAATTTAAACCGAGTTTGAATTAGTCGTGGGCCCGAACGTACCTCGCGCGAAAGAAAACTGCGCGGGAGAACCTAAAAAAAAACAAACTTAACTCTAGACTCGTTATTGTCATGAGGCGCTAATGTAGACGTTTGTGCGGGTGATTCCCTAAATTAAGTTCATGAAGCTCCAACAGCGAACACCCTTAATTATTCAGGCACTGATACGCCACAGGCAAGCTCCGACATGCAATAATGTGAGTAGCGAGGGTAATCGCCTAAATTTATTACGCTTGTTATGCTTGAAAACGCGTTCATTCAGAGAGTGGCGTAAAACGCAGTTGTAATGAAGAGTAACTATTGATTTCCATTTGCTTGCGGTTCTTGTGCTGGGACTCCATGAGCATCATTTCCAGCACCAGGGAAGCCTCCAAATTTCAATTGTTGTGAAATTCTGCTGTTTAGTTGTTTAAGATGTATAGCAAGCTTCGTTTTGTTTAGTTTTGCAACTTTTTGATCCCTGGGCTCCAACTTCTGATATTAGGGCCCCTTAATTACAATCTTAGCAATGCCATTTTTGGGCGTGTTGGTAAACGGTAGTCTGCGACATATTGAGCGCTAACATACAGGGACATGAGAGTCACGACAACACAATGCGTTCCAATCATTCGTTGTGGATACCTTCGCGTAAGAGCTATCGGTAGTTCACCCGCACATAAATGTACAGGGAGGTGCCGGGGCCAGCAGGGCGTCAGTTCGAATTGATTAAAAGTTTGAATGAACGGAGTTGAAATTAAGGACGTTTTACTGTACTTTATATCAGTAAACAAAGACAGATTATTGTGCAAAAAGTGAGGTGCATACACGAAATTAATAGGGAAGGAAGGTAATCTGAATTTCATGGTAGAAAACATGTGCACGGATCGCACCGGAAGCCGCTGCACACGCGAGGTCGCACTTCCATGAAAAGGCCACCCATCTCGACGCTATTTGAAGGGCAGCGAGCGGACCCTGCCCGGCTCAAAGTAAGAAAACAGGATACAAGGGATGGCCCTGCTGCCTACATGTAAGAGTTGCCACGTTGTCTGTCGGTTTCTGTGATTGCAGAGACGATCAGCAGCGTGGTAATGATAGAGCTTTTCAAGGCTCTCACTCCCTTTCTATATTTTTCTCTCTGTATCCCTCTTTTCTATGTCGTTTATCTGTGTCTAGAATAAATTTATTTCATCGTGGTACGCAGCGAATAATAGGAAATAGTGACCATACAATAAGGACACTAATGAACACGCACAAAGTACCATGTGCAATGTACATGAAACGTTAACACAGAAATGACCCATTCCTTAGAGCTCCGTGAGACGTACTATAGTATGAACTAAAACTAAAAAACATACACCTATCACACTATACTGAAGTACACGACGGGGTATGTGCTATGTATATATAACTTCATGAGCACGCATGTTATGGCGCAGGCTATTACCGAATTGCATAGTGATGGTTTGATAGCTCTTATGCAAAAACCCCCGAATACCGGGAAATGCACAAACAGGAAATTAAATACATTATATTGTGTACAAGTGGCAACCACTATCTGGTGACTTGGCTACAAGAACCAGGCCAGGTGAAAAACCAGCTACACCCGACCATCGACAACGGACAAGCAACGGCATGACTACTGCCGTAGAAATTCCTCTTCCCCGAAGAAGACTTCTATCGGCTGGAAGGATAAAAGTTCTGAGTACCATCGTTGTAGAATTGGACACAGAGCACGGCGATGGTAACCCGGTGCAGTGGTCTCACATCTGCTACGCCACAAACAGAAAGTCCCCGTTGCAATTAAAAGGCGCACAAAATGACTGCGAGAGCAATGACCAGAAGTGATGAAACGGTTGACTTCTAGGCCACGGAAACCTCCGTTCACAGTTCTCTTAAATAAAATTGCAATAATACATCGCTGTAGCACAAGCTAGTTTGACTTGTTAGTGGAAAATAAGGGCAGGTAAAAGACGGGACCATGCCCCACCTCTACAGCCTGCCTCAGGTTGGGAGTACTTGCCATATCAGTCGAAAAACAAAGCCGAAGAGATCACCAGGTAGTAAAGATGCCGTTACTGACCAGCGAGATTCAGCGGAGCTACCGCCTGGCGACAAATGGTAGAACGGCGAAAGTGTGCATTGCTTCATGCGCCGTCCGCTAGACACGTCGTGCTTATATTTGCGCGTACGTCAATGCACGTTCTCAAAGGGTGGTTCGTGCGGTTTTAGTAGCGCGAGTATAACTGTTTGTACGTATGCCTGAAACGACGTACGAAGGCATTTAGTCTTGCTAGGCTGTTAATGCATTGTAATGAGATCAGGCGAGTGCAACTTTTTAGAGAGCTGTTTATTGTCGTCGTACCTTGAATTCACCCCGCCACGGTGGTCTAGTGGCTAAGGTACTCGGCGGCTGACCCGCAGGTCACGGGATCGAATCACGGCTGCGGTGGCTGCATTTCCTATAGAGGCGGAAATGCTGCAGGCCCGTGTGCTCATATTTGGGTGCACGTTAAAGAACCCCAGGTGGCCGAAATTTCTGGAACCCTCCTCTACGGCGTCTCTCATAATCGTATGGTGGTTTCGGGACGTTAAACTCCACATATCAATCAATCAATCAATCAATCAATCAATCAATCAATCAATCAATCAATCAATCAATCAATCAATCAATAACTTGAATTCACCAAACTTATTTGGAATGGGGTGCTTTCTGCCTCTTGGCATCCTTCCGAACACGAGGACTATCAAATGGTGCGTGAACGCAGCGTTTTAGCGACTCGGCTGTAAACGAAACCGAGGCTGTAAGCCACGCCCTTGCAAGCAGTTGGTTGGTGTACAACCACGGCACCATAGTTTATCGATTGTGCGAGGAGCGTTGGTCAAGTTTATCTGAACTCGGTATCACTACATGGAAATATTACTATCACATTAACTGCGACATTCCGGCACTTACATTGTACCTAAAATGAAGTTGCTGTGAACAACCGTGTGCTGAGATTTAGAGCGCCTTAAAGAGCCCAAAAGTTCGAAATAATTCGGACGACAAGCCTTGCGTTTATTGCTGCACAATTTCAGTGGAAATGTTATCTTTTTTTGCAGCCTTCAACATTTGTGTGGCAGTGTTATTGACGGGCGGAAGGCAGCGGTAATTTTTTGTCTGAAAAAAAATTCGTGTCCTATAAAATAACCAGACCTTTGTTGTAGCACGGTAAGTCACGTAATCTATCCCTGAAAGCTTTAAGCTGAACGCTTTTAAGGTATTCATAATTCTACTGGTGCAAGAACGTGTGCATATAGGGAACCGAAGCTCGAGTTGGCGGAGCGATGACAACGCCACACCTGGCCCTGGCAGTGATCTCCCAAACACTTGAGGAGAGACATGGGAGAGGTCGCAGCCGAGTGAGTGTGTTTCGCTCAAACGGGAGTGCGTGCGACAAGCGCGCAACGCGTTCGGCAGTCGGTGCGGGGAACTTCGGCACCGTGCCGTCAGCTTGACACGCTAAAATGAGGCGCTCGCTCGCGAAGTTGCCTTTCCACGATGGAAGAAGCAGCCCCACGGAAGCGCCGGTGAGGTCCGAAGTATGGTGTTGTGGGCTGTCACAACAATCCAGAAAACATCAAGTGTAAAGCTCTCCACATGTAAAGCTCTATTAGTTTCCCATTAGGTCACAGCCGGCGAACACAGCCGCGTTCGCGAAAGATAGAGCAAGCATGACACGAGAGTCAAAAAAGGCGAGCACTTCAACTTGACTCGCTGCGGTTAAACTTTGCTTGCTGCTTCGTAGCGACGCGAGCGGGTCATGCACGGCACGGAGGACATGACTTCAAAACATCTCGGACATTTTAATGCCATGATCGTATAACAGTAGTTTTTATTTATTTTTTAGCACGCCGCAAACGTTTGGACATGACAGTACACGGCGGCTACTGCTAGATACCACATTAGAACAGCAATTACATGGTTTCCATAAACGTCAACACAGCACATCTGTAGAGTGCGTGACTTCATGTCAGCAGAATTAGACTTACCTCGAGGCATACATCGTACACGGTATTATCACGGAGGACCCGAAAAATGGATTTCACAGTGACTCGAGCATCCTCATCTTCCGTCATCTGCCCCATATCCTAAGCTTAACTAATGACCTTTACTCCTTTTGTTTGATTCGCTTCTTGAAAGTGCTTGTCCAGGTCAGAGATCCTTGCGAAGCCGCACGGCAGGCGGTACATTGTGACGTGACTCTAAGGCAGCACGCCGCTCTCTGCACGAGCACGTAAACGAGCGGCAGTGCATTGGAGCGAAGGGAAAACGCGTCATCTACATCCCTAATTTCTATTTTTCTACCAAAGATGGTGCTGCCTGTCCGGAGTCGCAGCGCCACCATTCGTTGCTTTAGCTTTCTATACGTGGTAAATGAAATATACCGCGAAGCGTCGTCAGCCTCTAAGCTTTCCTAACTACACTTATGCACTGCGCCACATATCATGGTGAGCAGAATGAGAGTAAGATGCATATG